AAAACAGAGTGAATAGGAAGCATAACTGGTAGGTATAAAATGGATGGGGAGAGATAAAAAATGGTATAGGAAACAGAGAACTCAAAGAACTTATATGTACCACCCATGGACATGAACTAAGGGGGCGGGGGGGAATGCTAGAGAGTGGGACAGTGCAGGGCAGAGGGGTGATAAAGGGGGGGAAATTGGGAAAACTGTCATGTCATAATCAATAAAATATACTTAAAACATGTTGCTTCCACTGTGTATACATCTAAGTGATTAATTCAACCAAAATAAAGCACTCACTGCACTTGATCATATTAAGGCATTATTTGAGACTTACTAATTAAATGGACTTAATATTAGTTTTATTTTTAATTTTAAAAAATTTCAGCCTTTCTGATAGGGATATTGTTGGGACCTGCCCTGCCTAGTTTCAGAAACTGTAATCCCCTATGTCTAAGACTGAGTAAAGGACCTTGGGACTATAAACCACTTAGGAGACAAAGCTTATCTTCCTTGTAGGGGCACCACCTCTGCCCCCTTTCTCTTCACCCGGCTTGACCCTGAGCAGATGACTGGTTAGCCAATGAAGGGAAAGATTCCTCAAAAGAGGGACAACCTATGACAGGCATGGTCATGAAGGGGCCCTCAGGTAAGGACTTAGGGGGGTATAGAAAAAGGGCCTGATGGACCCTCACCCTTCGGTTCTGATATAGCCTTAGCCCTCATTCTGTCTGCAAGGAGTCTCCTAATCTCTTGGCTGCCTTACTTCCCCTACCTGACTTAAGCCTGAAACAATGCTGGAGGTGGGTGCGGCCCTGTGCTGGAAAGGGCAGGTTCCCTAGGGCAATCAGGCCTAAGAAAGAATGCATAAAATCCTATGAAACCTACTTTGCTAATACCCTGAATTCAAATGATAAGCATTTAAGGGTTCAAGGAGTTTGTTCCCCAAAGTTTTATGGCCCTTTAACTATCTGACCCTGACTCAGAATAAGCCCTCAGAGTTCTTTGAATGTTATCTGTTATTTAATCAATTCTGCCTGACAATGACTGATGAGCTTTATGTATACACCCTGTATTCCTGTGCAAATTGAACCCAATAAAAGCTTGTCAGGGCAAGGGTCCAGGTGTTCTCCTCTTGAGAGAGTGACCAAGGTGCTCTGACTCTTGCTGTCTCCTTAAGAGAGAAGCTGCAGTGTCCCTTTTCCTCCACAGGACTCAGTAGTCCATGTGAATTTGTCTTGTCTCATCCGTAATGCCACAGACCCCAGGAACTGGGATCTGCATCAAGATAAGACTATTTCCCCTTCATTTATGCTTGTCTTTATTCTCCCAATGATTTTTTCAACAATAAAAATGTGTTTCTTTTCTAATCATAAAAGTCTATTTACAAATATCTACCTTCTTAGACACACTATTTAGCTCTACTGTCTTCTCTTCCCATTCTACTCATTATGTCTTTTTCTTAGGTTCTCCTTCACTGAGTTTTTTTTTTTTCTGCTGATGTTAACTCATCATGTGACACCCACATGTTATTTTTCTTCTTGACCAGAAGTCATTGTTCTTTCAAATGACATTGCAGAAGGTTTGACTGTAGGGACATCTTAGATAAGGCATGGTGCTTCTCAAGGTTGTAGTACAATATTAGCACAATGTATATAATGATGCCCATTAACATTTCTTTTTTAAAATTTCTTCTCCCTACTTCCTATGACCCCCTTTCTATCCATTCTCAATGAGGTAAAAAAAAATGTACTAAATCTCAATTCCAAACCTCAAATGCTTGAGTTTTGGCTAAAGACATTTTCACCTGGGTTGGTATACCTTTGCATCCTACCACCCATTCTGGACATGGTCATGCATTATAGAGCAGTGTCTCTGGTCACTGCATCTAAACACCAGGTTCTTGACCGAGCCGCAACCTAAATTTGAGGAGAAAGACAAAACTTATTTTAACTATGTTAAGTGATAATACAAAATGGTTGTTTTAACAGCTAAAATGTCTTGGTTTCTTTGGGCCCTAATTTTATTAGGCATATTTTCCTCTATGTTTGTTTTGAAATAAATTATACAATGTTAATATTTTATCATCATTTATAATTCATCACTTACCTTTTAATAAAAATAATAATTTTAAAAAATAGATCATATATTTTGAACTGTCATGGCTAATATGACAATATATGGACAGCTTCACATCTAGTCTGTCAGGAACTCAGATTGGATCTATTTTTCAAATACACCCCATGCCTGACAATTTATCACAATCTCCACAGCAGCTATCATTTCTCTCCTGCATAAGTTCATTGGCCTTGTCACACCCTCTGGTCTTACTCATTCTCTTACCTTCTTTGTTCTCTCATCAACACAGTGACCAGCATGATCCTTTACAGTTTAAAACCTGAGTGGCATCCCTTTGCTCAAAGCTGTTCAGTGGATTACAGAATAAATTCCAAAGCCTTCACAATGACCTCCAACTCCCTAAAAAATATGGCAACATGGTTCCCTCTCAGTACTTTTTCACTCTGGCCTCATCCTACCTACTTCTTGCTCAACTTCCTCCAGCCACAGTGTCCTCTCTGCTGTCCATAGTACATTACCCCACTCTGCCCTTAGATAGACCCAAATTAAGGTCTATGTACTGTGATGCAGACTCTGGCCCACAGGGTCCATGTGCTGTGGCTGCAACAAACAAATTCGTATGGACTACAGAAGTCCTGTGGAGAAAAAGGAACAGCTTGGCCATTCTCTAAGTGAGAGAGAGCCCTGACTCCTGCCTGGACAGGCTTTTATTGCTTTTCTGGGTACATTACATCGAGGATAGTCCTCACTTACTATGCAGAGGTTCTCTCGAGGTGGTTACCTTTTACAGATAACAAAGGGAATAATGTTGCTAATTACTTCAAAGAAAAGGATGTTTGAGATGCAAGGGAAAAGTAGTTGAACTGGTTACACTCCATATTTGGGAAGTTTAGCACAGATTTTAGGAAGTTACTTTAAAGATATGCAGTAAACATTTTCTGCCTCAATTCAGGATGAGGGAATTTTAGCAAAAGCAAGCCTCATAGCAGCCTAGGTACAATGCAGACCTGATTCCCCATGGGAAAACTGATCCATGAGCTTGGTTCCTGTGTGCCAACTCACTCCCTACCAGTTTTCCAAGTCAGGGGCTGGGCTACATTTGCCATGCCATGTGGATAGGTTCCCAACAGTACTGGCAGTTCCTCTGTCAGGAATAAATATTCCTTTCAATATCCTGATGACTAAGTTCCTTATTTCATAAGTCTACTGAAATATCACCTTCTCGATGTGCCTATCCTATGTACCCTATTTGGAATTTCAACATCACCTCCTACTTACCTGAAGCCCCTTCTCCTTACCCTAATCTTCTGTTTTCTTTTCTATAACATGTCATTGAACATATTTGACATATTTATTATATCCATTATTTGCTGTCTGGCTTTGGATGTTAAATATAAGCCCAAGAGTTCTGGTCCACTTATCATTTATATACAAATGTATGTCAAACACATATAACAGCAAGTGGCATACAGGAAAAGTTCAATAATTTTTGAAGATTGAATAAACTCCAATAAAATCCCAATGCCACTGAAACACCTCTTGTTTCAACACGTGGACTTCATGCTTCCTTCTCAAACTTGCCCAATCTTAAATTTGCATTTGTCTAGCCTGCCCCAAACTCTAGGATATCTGCAGTACAGACACTGGTTCCACCATCAGCACCTCTAACACATATTTGATAAGTATTTTAATAGATATAGAGTGACATTCTAGGCATTTGGGATTCAAATGGTATAAAACAAATCTCTACCATTCCAGCTTTATAATTTAAGTGAAAAGATTTATTAGGGATAGGAAGAATGGGTGGGTGGGAAAAATCCCCTTCTAAATTTAGAACATAAATATACCATGACCACAAAAATCTTAATCACCATCACCATGACAATGAACAACTACCACCTCACCACCACTAACACCAAATTCACACTCATTCCAACACTTAATTTTTAAGAGGAAAAGAAGTAAAACTGCCAGCATGTGATAAAATAAGAAATATTAATCCATGAATCCATTAACTTACCTGATATAATACACAGTTATATTTTCTTTTTGGACAATTTTTTATTGTTGTTCAAGTACAGTTGTCTTCATTTCCCCCCACCATGCATCCTTGCACCACCTATCCCCACCTCCCACCCTTGAACCTACCCCCTTTGGCTTCATCCGTATCTCCTTTATACATGTTCTTTGAAAGCCCTTCCCTTACTTTCCTTCATTATCCCTCTCCCTTCCTTTGTAGTTACTGTCAGTTTGTTCTTTATTTCTATGTCTCTGGTTATATTTTTCTTGCTTGTTTGTTTTGTGGATTAGGTTCCACTTATAGGTGAGATGGTATGGTATTTGTCTTTCACCACCTATCTCATTTCACTTAGTGTAATGTTCTCCAATTCTATTCATGCTCTCACGAAGGGCAGGAGCTCCTTTTTTCTTTCTGCTGCATAGTATTCCATTGTGTAAATGTACTATAATTTTTTGATTCATTCATTCATTGATGGGCACTTAGGTTGCTTTCAGCAATTGGCCATTGTAAATTGTGCTGCTATGAATATTGGGGTGCATAGGTTCTTTTGAATTAGTGTTTCAAGATTCTTAGGGTATAATCCCAGCATTGGGATCACTGGATCAAAAGGCAATTTCACTTTTAGTTTTCTGAGGAAATTCCATACTGTTTTCCACAGTGGTTGCACCAGTCTGCACTCCCACCAATAGTGCACTAGGGTTCTCTTTTCTTCATAACCTTGTTTGTTTATTTGTTTATGATGACCATTCTGACCAGTGTAACGTGGTGTCTCATTGTGGTTTTAATTTTCATCTCTCTGATGGCTAGTTATGCTGAGCATCCTTTCATATGTCTCTGAGGTTTTTGTATGTCCTCTTTGGAGAAGTGTCTGTTCAGGTCCTTTGTCTATTTTTTAATTGGGTGGTCTGTCTTCAAAAATATGTAACACTTCATGAATTTGCATGTCATCCTTGCACAGGGCCATGCTAATTTTCCCTGTATTATTCCAATTTTAGTATATGTGCTGCTGAAGCAAGCACCACATTTATATTTTCACTAAGACAAAGTAGACACTTTAAGTATTTCATTAAGACAATTACCAAAAAGCAGAGATGAACAATCATTTGCAGTTAGAGCTTCCATTGGAGACAGATTGTTCCTCAGGCAGAACACCCTTGTTTGTAATGTTACCAGTGAACATAGAAAAAGGAATGTACAACATGACCTGTGACAATAAATTATTGTATGGGTTATTAAATAAAATTATTTTTAAAATACAAATATTGGATATGTACCATAGATTTGGTGCCAATAACAAATGCTACACTGACTCATGGGAAGGAATAAACTAAAATATAAGGCTAATAAAGTTTTATGAAAACTTAAACTAGGCTTTGAGGAAAGTAACTGAAATTAGATGAACTGAATGGAGAGAGTACTATGGAGAAAATATATTTTTCAAAACCAGTTGGGCCCTAACATTTGTGAAGCCCAAGACAAGATTTAAATGGAAGCCCAGATGCAAGATCCCTAAATGTTTAAGAGTTATAAATTAAGCTTACAAACTTTTAAAACACATTATATATCCTTCTATTCTGATAAAGTGTAACAGAAATATTAACAGCCTTCTCAAAGTTTTAGCTAGAATGTGACAGCAGTTTATCACTCTTCTGTAGCCTTCTCTTGCATCACCTCACTCTGCTGCAGATTTCATACATGCACCTTAAGACATCAGTCTAAAAACCTAAGCTCAGTCCACACTCCACCCCAACAAAGTCCACCTTTTGGTCATATTTCAGGCCTGAGGGTTCACATACCATCTCATAGTCTTCCCTTGAGGGAATGAATGCAAGAAGAGGCCACTAGGAGTAAAAACTCTGGGATACCAGCTAACCCTGGTCTAAAAAGAGGGTTCAGGCTTCAATGGATGTGTCCTCTGGCCCACGACCTCATTGACCTGTGGAGTAGTACTTGGCCAGAGGAAGGTTAGAGCAGAAAGCTCTCTAAAACTCAAGGCCTCTCCTGAACAATAAATGAACAAAATAAGAAATTAAAGAGAAAATACAAGTTTTTCTTGAAGCATATGAAAATGGAAACACAACATACCAGAACTTGTTGGATGCAACAAAAATAGTTTTAACAGCAAAGTTCTTAACAAAAAACACCTGTATTAAAATAAAGATCCCAATTAAATATCTAACTGTACACCTTAAGTAACTACAAAAAGAAAAATTAACTAATCTCAAAGTTAGCAGAAGGAAGGAAATGAAGATTAGAGCAGAAATAAATGGAGAAAAAGCAACAATATAAAAGATTAACTTGAGCCCTGGCCAGGTAGCTCTGTAGGTTATAGCATTGTCCAGATATGCAAAAATTGTGGGTTCAATCCCCAGCCAAAATTGTGGGTTTAATCCCCTGTCAGGTTGACATACAGGAGTCAACTAATGAATGCATAAATAAGTGGAACAACCAATTGATATTCTCTCCCTTTCTCTCTCCGTCTCCCTCTCTCTCTCTCTCTCTCTCTCTCTCTCTCTCTCTCTCACACACCTCTTGCTCCAAAATCAGTAAATTTAAAAAACAGATTAACCAAACTAAGAGTTGGTAGTTTTTTTAAAAGATTGTATTTATTTTTTTTTTAGAGAGAGGGGAAAGGGCAGAGAAAGAGAGGGACAGAAACATCAATGTGTGGTTGCCTCTCACACTCCCCACACCAGGACCTGACCCACAACCCAAGCATGTGCCCCAAATGGGAATGGAACTGGTGACACTTTGGCTCACAGACCTGAGCTCAATCCATTGAGCTATATCAGCCAGGGTAAGAGTTAGTAGATTAAAAGTATAAAATTGACAAATTCTCAGCTAGATTAACTCAGATAAAATAAACAAATGAAATAAGAAATTATAGAAGTGTCTTTACAACAGATGACATAAAGTTTTTTGAAAAAATCATTAAGGACTATTATGAACAATTATAAGTCAATGAATTAGATAACCCAGAAGAAATGGATAAATTCTTAGAAATATATAACACACCAAAACTGAATTAAGAAGAAATAGAAAACCTAAATAAACCAATAACAGGGAGACTAAATCTCATAAATTTCCAAAAAAAGAAAATTTCAGGCCCAGATGGCATCACAAGTGATTTTCTAAAACATGAAATAAGAACTAATACCAACCCACCTTAAACTCTTCCAAAAAATAAAAGAACACTTCCAAAGTCATTTTATCACATCAGCAAATGTTTACAAGAAAGACATATATAATAGTGTTTGTAGTAGCTAAAACCTGGAAACAACCGCAAGTTCCAGCAATAGAATCAGTAATCAAATTGTACTATTTTTTACATGTACTTCTTAAAATTATTAATTTTTCATTTATTTCACTGTTACAGCAAGTTTAAATATATGGTAAAATTGAGAAAATTGTAAATAGAATCCTCACATGTCCAGTACCCAGTTTTTTCCACGACCATTTTACATGGATGAGGGACATTTGTCACAATGAAAGAGCCAGTATAGTATTAATTTTTAAAGTTCTTGTTTATTAAGATTACCTTAGTTTGTACCAAAGATTCTTTTTCTGTGCAGAATTCCATCTAGGATACCACATTATATTTAGTGATGACAGCTCCTTATGGTCCTCTTGTTTGTGACAGTCTTTCAGTCTTCCCTTGTGTTTGTTGGCCTTATCAATTTTAAGGACTAGTATTTGTAGATTGCTCCTGTATTAAAATCAATCTGAGTTTTTTCTCAAGATGAGATGGTAGTTACAGGTTTTGGGGAGGATCATTATATAGGAAAATGTCATTTAACATACCACATCAACATACATACTAGCAACACGATTTGTCATTATTGATATTGACCTTGATCACCTGGCTGAGGTCATGGTTGTCAGGTTTCTTCACTACAAAAGTACTGTTATCCCCCTTTTCCATACTTTACTCTTTGGAAGGAAGTTGCTATACACAGTTGGCACTTGAGGATTTATGCTTACTTTCTGTGAGGATGAGGCAAATTCTGATATTTTTATATAATGAAATGTTCAGCAATAAAAAGGGAGAAAACACACTGTTGATATAAAAACAACATGATTAAATTTTTTAAATATTCTGATCATGAAAGAAATCACATATAAAAGTGTACATATTATACAACCTATTTATATGAAATTTAAGAATAGACAAAAATAATCTATGGCTATTGAAATTGAAATAATGATTGCCTCAGGGAGGAAGATTGACCAAAAAGGGGTACCAGGGAACTTTCTGAGGTGATAAAAATGTTTCATGTCTTGTTTAGGATGCATTCATTTGTAAAAATCCATTTATCATCAACTTAAGCAGTTAACTTTATGCAAATCATACATCAAACATTACATTTTTAAAAAGGATTTTGTATTTATTGTCAAAGAAATCATTAATAATCCTTGTGAAAGCAGTTTCAGTACCACTGCAAGTGCAGCTTCTTTGGATCTTAAATTCTGCAACAGTGGAATGGAGGGAGTGAAAGAACATGACTGCATGGAAGATCACTGATTAAACTTGAAAAATTATAAAACAGAGGACTAAAGAACTACAAAGGACAAAAACCAAACTACTTGAGCATACAGCAAGAGTGCTGATCTGGGAAATTAATTAAAAATAGAGTTTACTAAACATCCAACTACACAGCCATCCAGCTGGAGGAGTGGGGGTTGGGAGGGATGCAGGAGGATGACTAAAGTTCCTGCAACAGACTTACCTCTCTGTCTCAGCCCAGCCATTTCAGTGTATCTTACATCTTTTTATAGTGACCTCTGGAGGTTTGCTAAGCTCTTGAAACACTCTAGTAATAAATAATCCCTTACATTTTATGGCCTTTCAAGTACCCACACAGGCACTATGAAACTATAATTTTAAAAGCATATGTAAAAGAACATATAAAAATATATTGTATAACATAAGAATCAGCACAATTCCCACATGACTGTCTAGTAAGTTGGTGGCTGCATTTCATTTTGTCTTGTGTAATTTGAGAAAATATCTAGAAAATTAATAAGAGAACAGAAAGGATTACTTAAAAGTAGGGAAAAACTTCTCTGAAAATAAGTTAGTAAAATTACTCAGCATGTTAGAGAGAAATCATAAAAACTGCTTTCTACTGGAGTAAAAAAAAATTCTTCTGCATAAGAAATCAGAACTTTCAGAAAAATTGTTTAACCTCTCAGGGAACTCAGGGTAGAAACTACATCTTACAAAAGATGAAAAAAACCTTGAGCATAAAAGAAAAAAAGGAACAGGACCTTTACTCTGTATATTCATCCTTGGGTGGAAAGGGGATCAAGACTCTTACACAAATGTTTTTTTCCTGAATTTTTATACTAAATCTAGAACTATAAAACATAGCTCAGATCTGAGCATTTGAGGATCAGATTTGAAAACCTATATTAAATTTAAAAAATTGGTACTATTAAGTATTTCATTATTAAAGTATGAACCAGACTTTGAATGTCTAAATTAAATGGAAAGAATTGTTAAGAAACAAAAGCAAATAATCACCTATTCCAGTGAAAAAAACAAGACAATATAGATTTGAATTACATCAACTTTAATTAAATCCACCTTCCAGTATTTCCTTTTTTATTTAGCACTCACTCATTTTACAAACATTTATTGAGGATAGATATTTATCTAGGCACTTGGTTTTCAGAGATGCGGAAACAAAAATTTTCCTGTTAAATAGCTAATTGTTTTCATTTTCCCTGGATTTTTTTGTGTTGCCCTGTATTTTTGTAATAGTATTATTTCCTTTCAGAATTCCCTCTAATCACATGATTTAATTAAACATCTTGCTGTCAACTCAAGAGATTAGCATCACTAACAAAAGTGGTAAGAATTTAAATAAATATATAGTGATTGTTGGGCTTGCAGAAAAGATATTAGATTTCTTATGAGGAAGCTAGAGCCAATATAAAGGACCATTTGTGTCCCTGTTTTCCTATGGCCTGGTTTTTATTCCAAAGAACTCCTGAGCTTAAGTTATTTTTTAAGCAA